GTCAGATAGGAAAAGATGGAGCCCAGAGGGCCCCTGGAGGCTAACACTTCTTTTGACATTTAAAGAGACTTTAATTTTAACCTCTTTTGCAAATGTCTAGAGGAGAATTCATCAGACTAGCCTAGAAACATTGAGATCCACAACTAAGCAGTAATTCATATTAGTATAATATTATGATATATTATCTTAAAATTCTGCAGTCACATTTTTTTAATTAACTTTGAAGAATTTGTGGAGTAAGGTACAGAATAATTGAAGCAATAATCTTCAACTGTAATAATCTTGCTCTGTAGATCTAAACCATTTCCATTGTCTTCAGTGGCATTTTCTGTCTCTTGAAGAGTCATGATTTGATAGCAATCATGCAATATCCATATAAATTTGTATTATCTATAGAGTTATTAAGTATTATATCTGTATGGATTCCTAGTTTTTCAAATATAATGATTCTTAAAAATAATTAAAATTTAGTAATAATTTCATAGTAACTTTTTTCATTATGCATTTTTTAAAGAAATTAATACAAATGGTATCACGTGTGAGAGTTTTGGGAAACTTAAGCTTTAATATACCTTTAGGCTTTAATTTAGCCCTCTGGCAACCAAAGAGATAGTGTCTCTATGTTCTAGGCACTTCTGAGTCCTAGTGCATACTTAGCCAACTGTCCCACAAATGGCACACACACATGCAATATATTTTGCAGTGAGTTTTGTCAGTTTTTCTGCATAAAAAGATTTATCCCATTCCCAAATAACAGAATTAATCATATTTCCTTAAAAAGTTAACTTATTAATATGATCATGCCCTCCATGTAAAACTCAATAAAACCATTAATTCTAAGAAAATAGTAAGGGGATTTTCAATTGAGGTTTTTAATTTTTAAGACATATAGCTAGAGTGATGAAGGAATTTCACCAAGTTAAAAAGAAACAAAAACAATTATGTAATCAGATTGGGAGCAGCTTATTACCACTAATTCAGAATTAGGTCCTAATCCTGTCCCGTTGAGAATCATGAATGGAGTTATTTTTTCATCTGTTTTTCTTTTAAATGTTAATTTTAAGGATTTTCTCCTGTTTAATGATGTTCAAAATTTCATATTATATTTATATTATTAAAGCCCTGATTGTCATATGCTTCTACCTCTATCTGGACTGGGTATGAATTCAGCTGGTGAATTTCTCACTAAGGATAGTTTTGATACCTGGTATATTTATGGGTAATGTTTACTGAGGTCTACTTATGAGTCAGAAATGCTAGTAAATGTTTTAATATATTGTTTATGATTCCACACCAATATTGCAAGTTAAATAGTATTATAAGTAAATTATTTGTCAAAATTACTTAGCAAGTAGCTGAGGCATAATATGAACTCGGGAGTTCCTAACTTCACAGGTTATGCTTTTACTATTCAAAGAAACCACCTGCAATGTGCACAGGTTTTAAGACAGTGTGTAATACAATATAGTCATCACTGACATTGAGTTTTAAATTTGAGGACATTAATCTCATTTTTAAGAGGAGGTTTGAGACATTGAATTTTACTAAGATGAGTCGTAAGACGAACAACTTGTGAAAGAACTACTTCTGCAAGGATTACTTGGCACTGGGCTAATGAAAATGAGACCTTAATAGGACCCCGCAGCCCACACAGTATAAAATTGTTTTATACAGAGGAGTAAAAAGGGAAGTGCTTGGCCTAAGTTACATAGTTTGTGAGTGAAGAATAGGACTCATATATATGGAGTCTTACTTAGTCTTATTTAGTCCGCTTTTCGTTGGGACAATTTTTCTTTATCATGGTACTTATATCTTTTCCTTAAAGAGAATCTGTGTGATTAGTTGATTCACAATTGTCTCTCCCATTTATCTCTAAAGACTATTTGCTCACCTTTCTATTCTCCAGGCATAACAGTACCTGGAATATAGTAGGACAGCAATGTATATTAATTGACTAAAAAAAATAATGTTTCACAAACACATAAATATACAGTCAGACAAATTAAGTGTTCTATCAAGATAAAGCAAATAAACAAATAATAAACCTAGGAAGTCCTGTATCATGTTAACTGTGGTTATCATCAGTTTGCAGTATTAATTTATTTTTAATTGTCTATATTTTCCACAGTTTTAATAATGTAGTCAAATTATATTTTTATTTTGTAATTTTCATGGAAAGCACCTGATACAGAGCTGAGAAAAAAATCATTCTTAGAATAAAGTAAAAAATTGTATTAAAAATATTTTTTCCTATCAGTCTTAAAGATATAGGACACACATCCTAAGAAAAGGAGAACTTAAAATATTTGGGCATGAGATTTTAAATGAGGCTGTCATTTTGGGGAGAAAAAAAATCAAGTTAATAAAATTTTAAAATACTCCAGCAAAACCCAGAAGAAAAACATAATTACCCTATCAAATTTCAGTCCTAAGAAATTGTACTAATCCTAACCTTCAAGAAAAAAATCACTAACCATAATATGCTTTGGGAATTAAACATGAATTTGATTTTTGGGGCACAGTATTTTATACAATAATTTTTATGAACTATGTTTATTTTTTTATACATATCTTGGGTTGAAATAATTATACTAACGCAAAGAAAATTGTTCAGAGGTTTCATATTGTCACCTGTTATGTTCATTTCCCCATGGGATTTTTGTAATCAATTCAGGATGATCCTACAATAGTGGCCCCTGAGTTAATGAATCTAGAGTTCCTCAGAGAATGGTATAAAGAAAAA